TTTGACAGGAAAGAAGATAGAACAGTTTATATGGGAAAATTAAAATGACATTCTAACTATTTTCTTCGCAATTTTTCCATATTTCACGCCTTTTAAACCTTCCCTAGACCTCCACGAATTTGAAGACCAAGATAAGATAAATCCGTTCGATTTGCGGAAAATTGATCGAAAACAATTCATCGAATTACAATTCTTCGAACACAATTCATCGAAAAAACAATTCGTCGAAAAACAATTCTTCGAACGGTAATTCCAAAAAAAAAATGAAAATTTAGCAGGAGGGAGGCTAAAACGAGGTGGGGAAAGGGGAAAAAGTATGAAAAAAAAAACGTTGCACGTACAAAAGTGTCGTTTCTGGCGCTTCGCCGGCCGCTGCCGCGGCACGCTCGCTCCGCTCGCTCGGCTCGCGCGTTTTTGGTCATCATACTAACCTAACCTAACCTAATGAACTCTTTAGACTTTATTCATTGCGGGGGGCTTCGCCCCCCGAGCCCCCCTTGCGGGGGCTGCGCCCCCCGCCCCACTTCGGTTCTGTCACTAATAATATGAAATATAAAAAGCATGAAATTTTACACATTAATTTATTTTGTTTTTCGGGGAATTACCGTTCGAAGAATTGTTGTTCGACGAATTATTTTTTCGATGAATTGTGTTCGAAGAATTGTAATTCGATGAATTGTTTTCGATGATTTTTCCGGTGAGGATCCGTTCAGCCGTTCTCGAGTTTTAGCGAGACTAACGAACAGCAATTGATATATAAATATATTATCGATTTGTGTGACTATCTACAAACAGTGGAACTGGATCAAATTATACAATATAATAAAAATATTTTTTCATTGTTATTTCCAACATAAACTACTCTTATTTAGTAAAAGCAAAACTTATATGTAGATTAATTTAAAATTAATCACTCTCTTCACCAGATGCTGACACCGATAACGATGACGATTGCCCTATATTAATCACAAATTGCTCCACCATATTATCGATGGCATTAATCCAACTGACAAGCGACACGATGATCCATCCAGTAAAATCAAAACGTCATAATTTCGCCAAAAATTTGGTCGCATTATACCTAAACGTTTCAATATAGGTTACAAACCTCTGCTTCTTTGGGTTTTTCAACAGAGCATTGTGTAATTTGTAGTAATCATGTAGTAATATTTTAGTTCCAGAATGACTCATTTAATAATATAAATAGTAAATAGATTATAATTTTTTAAATTGCTGTGCGTTTTACGCGTAAATTGACAAAAGCGTAATTAAATATTTATTACCAAAATGACTTAAAAATGCGCACCTATTTTACCTTTTAAAGGACCTTTTTTTCTTTTCGTTTTAATGTTATCCGGAATGAAGAATAATCGTTCTAATATTTTCAGAATATAGCTTCTTCCGGTTAAGGGACGTTAATAAATTCAGAAGCGTTCTTCTGATGTTTCACTATCAGCTTGACTTGTGTGACATATATAAGCTGCATAGGATAAGAACCAAAATAAAGAAATCAAATCGTACTCGTAAATATCGATATTAAGTAATACTCTATCGTATTAGTCATCATCAATTCCATTTTACCAGGGGACGCTTTCAGAGGGTAAATGGACAAGTTACTTTAAAAATATCTAAATTATTATAAATGTTCTCATCATTTTAAAAATTCCTAGATTTATACTTTTCATCAGATCCTGACTCTATATTTATGGGACTACTTCGGAATGATTACCTTCCAAACCAAAAATAATTAAGAAAATCAGTCCACGATTCACTTTATTTTTGTTTGATGCGATTTAACAATTCTTCCCCACCACGTTCAAAAAACTGGAAACATAAAAACATGTTTCACGTCGGAAGTTGGAATTAGGTACCTGCATAGTAGTTTACGAATATAATTACTATTTATTTTTAAATATAACGCTAATAGTTTTTCGTGTTCAAAGGTATACTGACTTTTCTGAACCGACAACAAAAGGTTCACAATAATGGTTCGAGGATGCACAATAACGGTTCGAGGGTGTCATCTTTCTTAATCTTCATCTTCGCTCTTATAAAAACAGCGATAGACAGAGTAGTAGATGCTAGATGTTTATTATCAAGTTTTATTCATGAAACGAAGACAATAACCGAACTCGATCATAAAAGACATCAACGTCCAAAGTAACTCGCAATCCTAGCTAATCCTAACTAATAGTAGGGGAGCCCAACTGGGGATTTTGGTGTTTATTAAAGCGCGGCAGAATAACATAAGTGGGCCAACCTAACACCTTGTGAAGTGCTCCCACCATACCTGAGCCATACCATACATGGGGTCGAACGTCTAAGACAGCAAAAAAAAATCAGCTAACGGCCATGACTATTGTTCGCGTCCAAATCAAAAGTCTTTTGAATTAACGATTTATGAATACAAATCTGTATCAAATTTTAAGCGTTTTAGAGTTACAATAATTGTCTTTGTTTCCTGGATGGGAGGAAATTTCCACTTCCAATACCAAAATTGTGTGATAATAGAAAAGTTGTTACGGTGTCAAAATTCCTATTTTTTTGTATATTTCATCCATTGCCACTACCTTGTATACAACATGGCCCTGTTTAAAAATAAAAAAAAATGCTATTTACTGACAGTTTAATTTGAAAATTTAGTCTGCTAGTTTGGGTCTGGGTGATTGTGATAATGCGTTAAGCCAATAAGTTTCAATACGAAACCAGTGAAACAAACTAACATCTTTTTAAGAACATTCAGAAAATAACGGCAGGTCTAAACGAAAATTTATTATAGTAGTGATGGCAGGAAAGAAAAATATTGAAATATACTCCAGCTGTTAACTTTCACGTGCTGTTATTAGACTAAAAACCTATCAAGACATGGTAATTCTTTTATCATCATTATTCAACCATTCGGCTGCTGAGCAAAGATGTCCACACTGATCGGTCCTGAGCTGCCGGCAAGGTCGCGGAGAGTCGCTAGATCGTCGGACCACCTGGTGGGACGCCTGCTCAATAGAGTTGCCCGGTACGCGGTCGCCACTCAAGCACTTTTCCGCCCCAACGGCGATCAGTTCTTCTTGCCCACTGGCACATCAGCTGAGCAATCCTTTGCGCGGTGTTGGATTTCTTCATTTTTGATTCTATGACGCAGAGAAAACCGAGCATCACTCTCTCCATTGCCCGATGTGCGACCTTCTTTTAAGAATCCTTATTCAACGATCACATTTCTCTTTTAACATCATTTCTGACAACGTAGTATACATTGTTAGAAATGATTGATGGTCAAAGTTTTGGTAAATCGAGAAAACGGCACTACGACTCTTCAAATACGAAATCGATGATGACGTTTTGGAACTTTACAATAGAAGTCAATTTAATTTAATTTTTTATTTTTGTGTAAAACTAAACACCAAATTAACTTTCAGCGATAACATTGTACATCTGTGTAAAAGTTTACAGGACTTTGGATTTTGTAATGCAGCTCTATATAACTGTCATATTTGAATGAGTAGTTAAATAATGTCTTTAAACATAACGGACATTTTCATTTTTTCTTTTATTAAGTTATTATTTATTTTTCGAAGCATTTGTTTTTTACACAGGTGTTGTCTATAAGACGTACCTAATCATGAAGAAATTTTAAGTGTTCACATTTTTGTAGGTTTATTTCTATCGCATGTGAACAGCACATGTCTGTTTTTTTAATATTTTTTTCAAGAATACAATATATGTATGCAACATCTTCAAAGTCGCAGAAATATTTTTTTTATATCTAATAAAATAATTTCAATAATTATTCTAGTCTGCCTGTCATAATAATAAGAAAAGAAAATAATTAATCTAAAACACAGCGGGAAAAACTGCTGCCAACAGCATTATTTTTTTGCTATCAACAGAAGCGATAATATCGTTTATGACACTTATTTTTAACATAATTTTTCGCAAGCGCCTATTTCATATTGCAGCAATTAATGAATGGCAGAAATTGTTTAAAATGTTTTTTTCTTAGTATGTACGTTGTTATTGGTGTTTATTCTGGCATGATGCTCTTAACCAAAAATTAAATTTGACAACAGAGTATCTTTATCATTCTCTATATAGGATAAAAACGAAAGACTAATGGTTAATTTATCTTTAAGTTTAGAGAATCATGCCAGAATCTACACCATTGTTTTTAATTACGAATATTCTTGTGCATGTGTCTCTTTTATTTACATGGGATTTATATCTTTGGTTATGTTAGTTACTTTAGCAAGAAAATAGTTGATCACTTTATTATGGGTAGTGGAACAAGTACATCTTCATCAGTCACTTTCAAATATATTAATAAAATTTCAAATATATTAATAAAATATGAAAACTTATTATTGAATGAAACCAACATTACACTCACTAACATACAATTGACACCTAATAAAATATTAGTAGTATATTCTTTACAGAAGAACCTCAATAATGTTCCTATTTTTGTAAGTTATATTCAGGACAAGGTATTCAACTATCAGTTTAAGTATGTGTCAAATAACAAATATTTCACGAACTGAGTTTGACTGCAAATTAGGTATTATTATGTACAAAGATCACTGAATCACATGACATATGTTGACCTGATCTCAAGGTCAATATCTAAGGCACTTTTGTCATTGAAATCAAAAACAACATGGTACCCTAATGCTGCCAAATGGCCAAGAAATTTCACAAAGTGGCAACTAAACATTGATAAAATAGAACCCAGCACCTGTTGCTGCTATAATACCTCTAATATAATAAAATTATTATACAATACAAAGAGATGGCGCTGCCTTGCAGCATAAGAAATACTAGAGAAAATTCGACAAGGCCATTAGGGCCGCGGTAGCATAATGGTCAGTGCATCCGCTAGGATAGCGGAGGGTGCGGGTTCGAGTCCCGTCTGCTGCCTGGCCCGCGTGGATTTTTTTCTAGTAAAATTTTCTTAGTATTATTAACGTAATGTTAAAGTATATAATGAATAAACAAAATAATGTACTTACATTGCATGTGCCAGCACCTCCATATAACATTGTTCAGTCTGATTTTGTCCTTCCACCGGAGCTTTATACCTTTGAAACGATTCCATTTTGGCGATGTAAGTTTTTGTCTGAGAAGAATTATTAAAAATAAATTATATATAATATTACTTACCATGTCTTAACTAGTTTTGTCACAAACTAATATTAGCTAACTCCAATTTTAAAAAAGAATAAACTAAATAAGTCATAGACTTGATTAGAGCCATATTCACTTGAAATAAATTTATATCATACATTATTATGATCAAAAGGGAATGTTAATCTTTTGCAATGAAAGTACTGTCTGAACACAATACTGTACTGATAAAATATGAAGACACCAGACAGTCAAAAACTAAGCCATTTATCAGAATTACTATCAAAAGGATCATGAGGTACCTAAATACAACAGTATGATAAGCATTTAAGTCTGACTTATCTTATCCATTTATAATTATTATCTAGTATGTTAGAGTAAATATAGAAGTGTGTTCATAACAGCCAACAACATCTTTTAAATAGTAAATTTAACCAAAAACTCAATACTTTATTTACTCATAATAAATTTTTAAGCACAACTTAATCAACGTTCTGTAGACGTTCATGTCCCCATATGTCACAAGACTATCTTTGAAGATAGACTTTTCCTTTGGAGATGAGATTTTTAAGCTTTTTTAGCCAAGCTTGGCTAAAAATCTTATGTATTTATTACTTGTCAACCCTTGCTATTGGTTGTTTAACTATATCAATAATTTGTTTTGATTCAAGGTAAAATACCTATAGTGTTTCTTTAATTAAATTCAAGAAATGCTCTAATGGTCAGATAAATGTAAAAATAAAAAAATATGTGTCTCTTTTATTTACATGGGATTTATATCTTTCGTTAGTTACTTCAGCAAGAATATAGTTGATTACTTTATTGTTGGGAGTGGAACAAGTATATCTTCATCAGTCACTTTCAAATAAATTAAAAAAATATGAAAACTTATTATTAAATGAAAACAACATTACACTAACATACAATTAACACATAATAAAATATTAGTAGTATATTGTTTGGAGAAGAACCTCAATAATGTTCAATTTTTTTTAAGTTATATTCAGGACAAGATTGTATAAAAGAAATTTTAAATATATTGAACTAAAAAATATGGCTGTGCAGGTTACTGGATCAACTAGTGTGTAATAATTGAACATATATATACAGTGGTGGTCACATAATTAAAGACACCCCCTAATTAACCACAAAAAACTTACTTATGGTACTAACATTAGCTAAAATTGGTATTTAATCCAGTTTAATTGTAATTACACCATACACGACGTTGTATTCTTACAATGTGGGATATAAAATTGTTGTGTTCGTTAGTAGTTTAGTCACTGCTCACTATGAGAACGTAACACAAACTTTTTCAACGTATTTATAGCTGGCCAGCTAATTAAAGACACTCGATTTGCTAAGAAGAAATAGAAAAAAATATTGTTATTATTGAAATTATCTTTATTACACAATATTCCTAAAACATTTATAAAACTTTCCGGTACGTATCAATATTTGGTCGCATGTCCTTTGGCTGAAATGACAACACGACATCTCTTGGGCATGGAAGCGAACAATTTTTTACAAGCTTCCACCGGAACTTGCTTCCAAGCTTCTCTAAAAGCTGTGTAAAGTTGATCGATGTTTGATGTCCGTTTTGTCGCCACTGTCTTCTTCACCTGGTACCACAAATTTTCTATTGGGTTGAAATCAGGACTGTACGGGGGCCAATCCAAAACTGTCACAGACTGGTTCCTTAAAGTCTTTTATTACTTTTGCTGTGTGATTCGGATCATTATCCTGTTGAAAAGTCCAAATGACCGGTAAATTTTGCTCGGCATAGGACAGCATGACGTATATTAAGCTAGCAGACCATGGTCGCAACGCACGCACATCTAACCTACTGGGTATTTAGTTGCTAATTACTTACACTATTCCCGATTTAGTTGCTCAATACCTGTAAAAGATGCAAGCGATCTGCTAGATTAAGTCTTAACCTAGCAGACCACAATACTGTATCTACGGTTCTCGTAAAGATATCGAAGTTCTGCAAACGGCATATTTAGTTGCTAATTAGTTGCTGTAGAACAGCATTATTAGTATTAACCCCCCATCATCCCCTAATTGCCGCACCAGCACCCACACTAACACTACTAAATACGATAAAATTAAAAAGAGCTCATCAGAGAATATAAACTACGGCGTACTTTGTTGCTAATTAGTTGCTGCAAAAAAGCGTTGCTTATAATATTTAATTATCAACCCTTAACTCCAGATCAGCACTGCAACCACCCCAGAATAGGACGATATCGGAAAATTCTCTTAGGTGGATAAAAGATGCGGCATATTTAGTTACTAATTAGTTGTTCGCCAAAAACGCAGATAAGAGTATCCTACAATCATCCCCTAACCTCAGTTCCACCCCCTCTACTCACTAAAAATAGTAGATGGTTCGAATTCGCACGCAGATGTTTAAAACTGCTGGATGTTTTGTTGCTAATTAGTAAAATTAAGATTATTTGTTAATTTTACATGCATAAAATTTTCCTCACGCTAAGCAGCCGTGATTAAAAATACTCTAGCAGTTATTTTAGGCTTACTTAAAACGAAAATGAATGAAACACTTTTCGTTTCGTCAATTTGAGGTTAAGGGGTGCGTTTGTCGGTCAGCGTACGGACGATCCTTTTTTTTCATACAAAACGCACTTCGGCACCGCAGCAGACCGTCAAGAAACGCATAAATTGAAAGCGCCTTAAGATTTCGAACGCAGAAAAGAAATCTGTCAAATTCAACTATTCCTTCGAAAGTTTTTTGAATAAGAGTAGGCTTGGAGAATTTAATAGTCAAACTATTTTCGGACGTTTGAATGTTCGAAATGAAAAAGGAACAAAGTAAGGAACTTGCGAAATTTCGATCGAAATTTAATTTTTCGTTGAAATAGAGTAGGCAACCTGAGGTAAATAGATTATTGTAGAATATTTTTAAATGTAAACTTAGCGAGCAACTAATTAGCAACAAGATATTCTGCAGTTATATACATCTAGATTTACGAGCGTATTCTGACCGTTTTTTATTGTAAAGAGAAAATGACTGGTAGATCTAAGGTGAAGAGACAATTGTAGAAAAATATCCCGTATTTTTTGTACCCATTTGTAGTTAAGGGTTGATAATTAAATATTATAAGCAACGCTATTTTTCAGAAACTAATTAGCAACAAAACATCCAGCAGTTTTAAAAATCTGCGTGCGAATTCCAACCATCTACTGTTTCTAAGTGATTAGAGGGGTTGGATCTAAGGTAAGGGGATGATTGTAGTATACTTTTAATTGCGTTTTTGGCGAGCAACTAATTAACAACTAAATATCCCGCGTCTTTTATCCACCTACGAGAATTTTCCGATATCGTTTTATTCTGGGGTGGTTGCAGTGCTGATCTGGAGTTAAGGGTTGATAATTAAATATTATAAGCAACGCTTTTTTGCAGCAACTAATTAGCAACAAAATACGCCGTAGTTTATATTCTCTGATGAGCTCTTTTTAATTTTATCGTATTTAGTAGTGTTAGTGTGGGTGCTGGTGCGACAATTAGGGGATGATGGGGGGATAATACAAATAATGCTGTCCTACAGCAATTAATTAGCAAACTAAATATGCCGTTTGCAGAACTTCGATATCTTTACGAGAACCGAAGATACAGCATTGTGGTCTGCTAGGTTAAGACTTAATCTAGCAGATCGCTTGCATCTTTTACAGGTATTGAGCAACTAAATCGGGAATAGTGTAACTAATTAGCAACTAAATACCCAGTAGGTTAGATGTGCGCGTTGCGACCATGGTCTGCTAGCTTAATATACGTGGCAGCATGGCTTGTTCTAAATCTTGTACTGAAATTTATCCATGTTGCCTTCTATTTTCCTGACAGGTCTAACACCAAGTTCTGAGAAACAGCCCCAAACTTTGATATTTCCGCCCCCATGTTTAACTACTTTCTTGGTATACTTTGGATCCATTTCTTTGTTCGGGGGGCGTCTAACATTTTTTTTCCCTCATAATTAATCATATTAATGTTTGTTTCATCAAGAAAAGCACATGTTTCTATTTTCGTTCAGTCCAATGTATATATTTTTTAGCAAATGCTTGCCTTAACATTTTGCTTTTTCAAAAGTGGCACCTTCCGAGGCACTCTTCCGTACAAATATTGGATTAATTTCGCGCCACAAAGTGAAATAATAATGAACATCATGTATGTTCCTATTAAATTAGTAAATTTATGTATGATTTTCACAGTGTGTTTTCGATGTTTAAATGATATAAAAAAGGTAAATTTAAAAAATCAAAAAACCCGACTGCTTAATTATACTTCAAATAAAAACTGAAAAGAAAAAAACAAGTCCAGTAGTCTATAATTCTGTTAATAAGGAACAAAGCTACTTTAACAGCCGGGACCCATTAGATATTTAAGAATACATAATATTTTTCAATAATGGGTCCCGACTGTTAAAGTAGCTTTGTTCCTTATAAACAGAATTATAGACTACTGGACTTGTTTTTTTCTTTTCAGTTTTTATTTGAAGTATAATTAAGCAGTCGGGTTTTTTGATTTTTATATTTACCTTTTTTATTTCACACTTTTTAGTTAGTTAGTATTTTAAGACAGTATATACCGTAGTCTTGACTCTTCAGTAAGGGAATTAATATCGCGGGAATTATTAAGTACCTTGCGGTGGTCTAAAAGATTGATTTATTAAGACATAAAGAGACTAATTTTGTCGTGTAGCGACAAAATAAAAAGAAAGAAAACAGGTAGAGGTTATTAAATATATATATTTACAAGAATAAGAAGTATTTATAGATTATAAAAAAAAATAGGGGTATGGTGTGTGTGAAGTGGGCGTGGGTCGTCGGCGATCTTCAGGGGCAGCTTGAACGGTAGGTCGTGCTGTAGGCAGATGGACGGCGCTCCTTGGAGGCAGAAGCGCTCCTGTTCAGCCGTCTCAGTTCTTGGCCTGCCCTGGTGGTGGCTGGCGGCGCTGCTGGTAGGTTGGCCGGCGTATATCGGCCAGTGGCAGGAGTTGATGGAACGGCAGGAGTCGGTAGAAGGCGGGTTGAAGCAGTTGGAGGCTGGCCGAAGAAGCTGGAGTCCAGGCGGCAGTCCCACCGATGAGGTTGCGAGTACGTGAAGATGACGGGAAGAGTAGTTGAGTTAAGTAGTTGTTTAGAGAGCCAATAGGTGCTAAAAAGCTTTGAGGTCTTTTTATGCGCCAAAATGAAACATTTTGAAAAAAAGTATAAGTATTTTTATAACCCGTCAAGCGAGGTATCAAAGTGAAGGGTTTTAAAAGAATATTTAGAAAATATACAACTCGTGTAATTAAAAAATAATGAAATTAAAATGTCAAAAATAAAAATAATGTACTAAAAAGAAAAAAACAAGTCCAGTAGTCTAGAATTCTGTTTAATAAGGAACAAAGATACTTTAACAGTCGGGACTCATTAGAAATTCTAGAATGTATCGAATTTTCTCAATATTGGGTAAATCAACTAAATATACATGGCCTGGCCTGCATTCTCTTTCATATTTCTTAAAATAAACTAACACCCATTGAGTACTGTTTGTAATTGAGGAGTTCCATTGTTTTCCTCCGAAAGTACTCATCAGTTCTCCAGTAAATTAATATGCAGCCATCTCGCTAGTAAACAAAAAAAGAATCATCATAAACGGTCCACGAATCTCGGAGATCTGCGCGAACAACAATAAAAAAAAACAAATATGACGCATTGCGAACCTCTTTCTTTTCGAAGTCGGTTAAAAATTTTAATCAACCTTTTGAGGTAATGCATACGTAATAACACGCCGGAGTCCTCCTTTAGTTGTATATAAGTCTTGAGCTTCAAAATGAAGACTAAAAATGACACTACTACATATTTGTTTGGAAATCATTCATTTTCCAGTAATTTCTCCATACTACATTTTCTTTAGGAAATCTGATAAAAAAGAATAATAAATAATAGATTGAAGTTAATGTCAACCCAATTTCCCATATTTTAGGTAATATGGTTACATGAACATTGGCAACACTGGGCTTTAGACTAATCATTTTGTCCTTAGAATTAAAATTGATTTCGATTTCTAAAAACTAGAAAAAAGTGATTCAATTATTCATTTACCTATGAAACGTGATTCCTGGATTTTTTTTCTTTCGGTCACTACGGTTTTTACACCTTTTTATTTTTACAAGCAAGGTATCTTGTTTAGCTTATTTTTTATCTCCACGTAACGTGTCGGCTGCTTTGACGTTTGACCACGTAGTGGCTGGCTATTGTGTGAATGTGTGCGTGCCGGCTTGTACGTACAGCGACCTGGCCGACTCTGAGCGACACAGTTTATTGTTTACCGGGACTCCGTCCGCCTTTTTTTATAAGTCCATGGTATCAGCATAAGCTGAGGCAGGGTCCTGATTGGCCATCCTAAATCTAGTGATTAATTTTTGTTCTTAGGTTAAGTTTCTTTCTTATATTTTTTTTTCCTCTGTTTCTTATATACTAGATGGCCAATAAAGATTTTTCATTTTATTTCATATATGAGCTATATTACTGTTAAGTTTCATTAAAATCCATTCAGTATTTTTTAGGTGAAAGAGTAACAAAGATCCATACAAACGGAAGATTGAAATTGCGCAAGTGATTAATATACAACTTTAAAGCGTTGTTGATCCTAAACAATCATATTAAATGAAAAACGGTGTTAGGAACCTCAACATGATTTTCGATTATCTAGACAGTGATACCCCACTCGACATATTTTGCCTAATTTTGCCCATATTGAATTTTGATTACTATCATATCTTTAGTAGCACTCCCATGAGTGAGACGAATCGATTGATGTATGAATCATCAAAATCGGTCCAAGCGTTTGGTCTCTAGTGTGCCACAAAGGAACAAACATACATATATAGACTGTTAAACACTATACCCTGACTCTTGCATTGCGCGGTCGGGTAAAAAGGCGCCTTGCATAGTCTATTAATATCGATTACTATCATGTTATAATGTAACTGTATATACATTATGTTTTTATTATACAAATACAGAAATTTCAAAATTCAAAAAAAATCCATAGAAGTTTGCCTCACATAGTCTCCGTCTAATTGTTCTTGCAGACGCACCCTTCGACCCGCCTGCACCAAACTCCGAACGTATCAGTTCTGATCCCTTGAACGGATCTTTTTTTTGCCAACAACACCATCTTAGAGTCTTCCCGCAGAGAAGTTTTTCTTGTTCTCGGTTTTCTTGCTATGTTTTCGGTCGTGTTGAACTTCTTGAAATGTTTTATAGTATTCATAACCATGTCCTTCGAACAGTTCAAGTGGTTTGCTATTTTTCTGTAAACCAATCTTTATTATGAAAGTCGAAAATAATCTTCCTAGTGGAGGAATCGCAACTCTTGTTTTTTCCCATATAGCTGGGTTTAAAACATATTAATTTAAATTAAAAAATTAGGTTCTATATGTAATATCGACGTTTTATTTCATGAAAATACGCGGCAAAACAAAGAAAAATCGAATGCAGTTTTTCTTTATTTTTTTAAAAGCAGATCACAACTTTTACTGTTTTTAATTAGCTGGCCAGCTACAAGTACTTTAAAAAAGTTTGTGTTATGTTCCCATAGTGAGCAGTCTAAACTACTAGTTTTAGTTTAGTTTTTCAGGGCGGTTTCCGCACTTAGTCCTTATTATTGGACCATTGTGTGTCTTGAAACATTCCCGTTTACTCCAGCCCGCCTAAGTTAGTCCAGAAGGAAAGTAGCCTTGGCAGACTGCTGCAAGCTTCCGGATGCTGGCGACTGGAGAAGTCGTGCCTGTTAGTCGGCCACACTCCTGCATTCCATAATGACATGGTGTGTCGTTTCCTCCGATTCCATACATCCTCTGCATAGGGGGCTGTCTGTTACTCCTATTGTGTATAGGTGTTTGTTTAGGGGACAATGACCAGTTAGGAATCCTATAATTATGCAGAGTTTGTCCCTATTAAGTCTGGTAAAGTGCCGGCAAGTCTCTTGTTAGCCGCCGGAACTGTTTTTTTCATTTGCTGGCATCCTTCACCTGTTTTCCACTCAGTTAATTGTAGTTTCTGAGTTGTATCACGCAGCCATGTTTTAATTTGGGCCTGAAGTATGGGCAGAAGAGGTTCCGGACCATACACTTTTGTGTCTGCTCCTCTCTTAGGCTGTTTGTCTGCTGCATTGTTTCCGATTGAGTTGCTGTGTCCTTTTACCCATTGCAGAGTTACCGTGTTGGTTACCGCAATGGATTGAAGTGCATTGTGGCACTCCATCACCAGGACAGAGTTTATTGTGTTGCTACATAGGGCTTGAAGCACGGATGCACTGTCAGAGATGATCTTAATGTTGAACTCTCTGATGTCTCTGGCTGCAACCGCTTGTGCCGCTCTGGTAATGCCAATACATTCCGCCTGGAAGATTCTGCTTAGTTTGTCTAAGGTTCAAGATATGTAAACTACTAACGAAATACTAACGAACACAACTATTTTTTGTCCCACATTGTAAGAATACAACATTGTCTATAATTTAATAACAATTAGACTAGATTAAATACCAATTTTAGTACCATAAGTAAGTTTTTTGTGGTTAATTAGGGAGTTCCTTTAATTATGTGACCACCAAAGTATATATATACATGTATGCATTATGCATAAAATAAAAATAATTTTACCAAATCAGAAGGTTCAAATGTACTGAATGAATAAATATGTTAATAGTTCTTAACTACAAACACTACTTACAAACAAATAACAAAATACTAATTTATTGATTGATCTGTCATAAAGAACTTAAAGAAAACAAAGTAAAATTAAACATCAACAGTAGATTAAAACTCACAATAGCAAAAATGTTCTTATTACAAAAACAATATATATAAACAATATTTTGTTACAACATATTAAAGCATAATGAATACCTTATTATTAAAATGGGTGTGTTTAAATCAAACCAAAATGATTATTTTGTTTGATTTTAAAACAGACTTATTTTGGCAATGTTATGATTAATTTCTCAATCAAGCTTATTGCTATTTAAATAATTTGTACAACATTCAATTTAACTAGTTACTATTCTTTTACCTAGACTTTTTAATTATCAATTCCCATATATTTACAATTAATTTATTGCCCCCTTGATATGCTGATAATAGATTATCATAATTGGTTGAAAGAAACAATTTTTGATAACCTTATATTAATTATTACTTTTGATAATGCAAGTGCTGGATATTTCACCATTTCATTTAAAAAATATATCATAGAAGCAGGGCAAATTTGAATTTACTTAGATATTTGCATTTAAGGAAATTCTAATTTGCCTGGCTTCTTTGTTAGTTGAAAAAAATAAAGAAGCTCGATTTGTTAAATCAATGTTATAAGATTAAATTCGAACATATAAATAAGTATTCATACAAAGTTATCTCTACATATGACCTATGTTTTTCACAGACTATGATGACCTCCTGTTATCTTTGCACATTAAACCAATGGAAACATACAGTTCCTTAATTTTTGGTAATTAGATAATTCTATATAAATAGATTTATGCAGTTAGAAATAAATTTGAAGATAATTTTCTATACAGAATAAAACATAAGTTGCTGAAACCGAATTATCTTCTTTGTGGACATACACAATCAACCAGTGCTTCAAAATACATAATTCTTTATTCAGCCTATAAGCACTTGGCAACTTAAAAATAAATATAATATATGAATACATTATACATATTTACTCACCTGTAAGCAAGAGTCATGCATTTGAATAGTTTTGTGAGAGATATTTCAATAGAAAGCTGTTGTTTATTCTCCTTCTTATCAAAAGGTGGAAATTGTTCCTTTAATCCAGGGACCGCATAAGTTGCTACTACTGCAGCTTTTTGCACATTCTGCTCCTCGTCAGGGACAGGAACTGCCAAGTCGTCGAATTCATCTTGAGCTTCAGCTTCAAAGTGCGACACCATAAAATGACCCGAATGTATGGATTCTTTTCCAGGACGCGGCTGACGTTTCTCAACATGGGTCATTTTGAAAACAAGCAATGTAAGCCAATGGTTACTTTTTAATAAAATTTGCTGGATAAATAATAAATAATCTAATCAACTTTTGGACTTAGCCATATTTTCTATTATCACTCGCTCACTCACACATTGTTTTTCCATCTGACATCAAATGACATGACATGACAATGACATTTGGAAAGTGTGTTGTTGCCACTGTTAAATTATTATGCCTTTTCCGCATTACTCATCGAGCCGGCCTATTCGCAAACTTGTTTGGCATTTATGGTAGTTTTCCAATTACAACACTAGAGCGCATTATACGGCATAATGCTTAACGTTGCATGTTTTAACTACAGCATCGCTTCGCACAATCGAGCACTTCAATACCAACTCAGTGACAGAAAATTAAGAAGTGTTTTTTTCTTTAAGTTGGCATTAATCTAAATGTTTTATTTATTTATTTATTTTTTTGGTTACTTTGTCCCTGTTGGGACGGGCAAAGGATTCTGAGTCCATACAGCCCTGTTTTATTTATTTATTATCGTTATATTATTTATTGTTGAAATTTTTTTAAAGCTTTCGTTTCATTGTAAATATTATGTATACCACTTTATTTACACATTAATGAGGTTATTGCTAACTCTATGAATTTTTTTTTTCAACACTGAACTTAGCGCTCTCTGATGGTGCATTTGAAAACTAATTCACGTTCCAATTACGCATAAGCTTAATTCGGCATAGTGCGCTACTGAGTCGCATTATGCTCTGTAATTGGGAAACTACCTACCTACATATATACCTACAGGTAGTTTTCCAATAACAGCACTAGAGCGCATTTTGCCGCATAATGCTTAACGTTGAATGTTTCAACTGCAGCAAGGTTTCGCACAATCGAGCACTCTCAAACACTCAAAAGTAATGTTTTCGTTTGATGCGTGCAATCGTACCAACTCAGTGACAGAAAATTAACAAGTGTTTTTTATTTAAGATGGCATTGATCGAAATGTTTTTAATTTATTTAATATCGTTAGTAATATTATTTAATGTTCAAACATTTATAAAGCTTTCGTTTTTTTTAAATAATCAAAGTTAATTCAAACTGTGTTAAAAAAATAAATAGAAGTATGGATGAAGGTACAAACATTTTTTTTATACTCCACATTTAAAATGTGATTACAATTTTATTTTAGAAATCGAATCTAGCAATGGCTTGAGTGAATCATTTAATGACGCAGGCAATCATTAATGTTTTCGTGGAAAAAAACATATTTATCAAGATGAAGAAGACAACACAATCTTATTTCTTCTTATTTACTATATTTATTCAACACTGAACTTTGCGTACTCTGCTAGTGCGTTTGAAAACTAATTCATATTCCAATTAAGCATCAGCATAATTAGGCATTGTGCGCCACATCCATCAGCCTTTCTCCGTCCGCTGCTAGGCATAGGCCTCCCCCATAGAACGCCACAATGCGCAGTCCTGCGCTTTCCACATCCAGCGGCTCCCAGCACATTTGACGATGTCGTCAGTCCACCTTGTTGGGGGCCGCCCCACGCTGTGTCGTGCGGTACGTGGTCTCCACTCGAGGACCTTTCTTACCCAACGGTTGTCAGATCCTCGAGCGATGTGGCCTGCCCATTTCCACTTCAGCGTGCTAACTGTTCGGGCTATGTCGTACACACCGGTCCTTCTACGGATCTGATCACGTAGGGAAACACCGAGCATAGCCCTCTCCATAGCACGCTGCGCGACTCTGAGTTTTGTTATGAGGCCGACATTCAGAGACCACGTCTCAGTCCCATAAGTCATCACTGATAACACACACTGGTCATAGACCCTTCTTTTCAGGCACTGGGGAATTTTGGCCGTGAGGATGTGCCTAAGCTTCCCGAACGCTGCCCATCCGAGTTGGATTCGTCGGTTGACCTCTTTCTCGAAGTTGGATTTGCCCAACTGGACTGTTTGTCTAGGTATGTAGGTAGATGTAATGATCGAGAACTTCGAGAATCGTATTCCCAACAGATACTGGTGTTGGAGTGACATGGACATTGAACATGACATTGATTTTATCCATATTCATCCTTAAACCAACCCGTTGGAAAACTCTGCTGAGGTCATTGAGCATTGTGCCAAGGTCCTCCAGGGATTCTGCCATAACCACGATATCGTCTGCAAATCGAAGGTGAGTGACGTATTCGCCGTTGATGTTGATGCCGAGTCCGGTCCAATCCAGAAGCTTGAAGACGTCTTCCAAGGCAGGGGTGAACAGTTTCGGGGAAATTACGTCCCCCTGTCTGACACCCTTCTGCAATGGAATCGTTTCGTACTTCACTCCTGGATTCGGACTCGCATAGTGGCGTTTCTATACAAACACTTCAACACTTCGATATATCGATAGTCAATTTGGCACCGCTGGAGGGACTGCAGCACATACGCTATACACAGGGGCCGATTATACTCCTCGGTCTTCTGTATGATCATCTGACGCAGCGTATGTATGTGGTCCATGGTACTAAAAGCCTTTTCGGAAACCGGCTTGTTCGGGAGGCTGGAAGTCGTCGAACCTGCGCGAAAGTCGATTTGTAATGACTCTCGAAAACAACTTATAGACGTGGCTCAAGAGCGAGATAGGTCGATAGTTCTTCAAACGGGTTTTATCGCCTTTCTTGAAGAACAATACCACCACGCTCCTGGTCCACTCCTCTGGAACAATGCCCCCGAGGATGACAGAGTTGAATAGCTTCTGAAGGACCACGAGGACCGGCTTACCGCCCGCCTTCAGAAGCTCCGTAACTACCAGTGTGCAACTAAATAATAAATTACATAAAGTAGTTCTAGAGTTGCGAATGACAGTGGACGCGTGCTTGGAATTATATTTTGCTTGTTTGTTACTCTCATTCGCCGAAATGGCTAATAATATAAGTATTAACGAAACATTTAAATTCCTTGAGTAGTATTCAAGCTGGAAACGACCCGTGGTATCTTCTTTTCTGTTTCATTTTGATAATTATACTTCGATACACCTAAAGTAGTAGTTCAAAGTACTAAATTAATAAATAATTGCGGAAGCAAATAATCTCATTATTTTACCGGTGTCTTCTTCTCGCGCGTTGCCGACACCGAAGGCGCCGCGGCGTGCGGGGAATCATGTGGCTTTGAGCCACTTTAGACGCCTCGGGTGCGCAACCCGTTAACGAACGGGATGGTCATTGCGGTCAACCCCCCTCTCTATGTCTTCACACATCGAACTCGGGTGAGATCCCTAAGTAACCAGCGAACGGGCGATGAACTTTGGCGTGAGGCGGGAGCATCTCTGCATGGTGGGTAGGTGAAAAATCCAGTTACCTGTGTTTTTCGCAGCTGTCGGAAGGCGTCGATTTGGACCTATGTTGGTGTAGGTCCTGTGGTGAGAGTAAGGGGAGAACGGAGTTAACATCTCATCCGGCCCAATTGTCAACCTCACCTGCACGCGTCATAACGGCGGCGACGACTCAATCGTCGTGGTGCTCCCTGCTAGATAACAGACGAGGCTCTGGCGACCGAGCAATGGCGGTATAACCATACACCCAACTGAGCGATCAGTTGGAAGAGGCGTCAGCGACCTTGGGAATTAAATGTTCCCTAAAATGTCTGGTGCAGAAGGCAACGGGAAACCACTGCACTATAATTTCCCTAGTAGTTAACTTTAATGGACAGTACAACCAATGAAATGGCCCCAAATGCCCGGCGTTTCTTAAATGAAACAGGGGTGCGAAGAATTTCCGGGTGGAAAACACTAAAAGTAGGAACTTGGAATGTAAGGAGTTTGAAGCAAGATGGAAAAATGCCGAACGTAATAAAGGAGATGAATAGATTTGGTTTGGATGTATTGGTGATCAGCGACACAAAATGGGCAAGCAGTGGGAGGCATCAAACTGATGAAGGCAAAATTTTCTACTATTCTGGAGGAAATTCAAGAACAGAACAGTATGGTGTAGGAATTTTGCTAACCAAGGCAGTAGCTAGTGCAGTTGCCGAATTCGTGCCTGTTTCCAATAAAGTCATGATTTTGAAAACCTGGATTTTGGTGTAAAGGTCAATGGAAAGATCATCAATAATCTACGTTACGCTGATGACACTGTCCTTATAGCTTCCTCCGAAAACGACTTGCAAGTGATTGTCGACAAAGTCAAAGATCACAGTGAGCGTGCTGGACTTTCAATGAACATCAAGAAATCTAATTTCATGGTTGTGTCTAGGTCAAATCCAGTCGCCAACATCAGTATCGGAAATAAGATCTTAGAGCGGGTCAGACAATATAAATACCTTGGTGCTTGGGTCAATGAAGAATGGCATTCCGATCAAGAAATAAAATGCCGGATAGAAATCGCTCGAGCATCCTTCAGCAAAATGAAAAAGGTTTTATGTTGTCGGAGTATTAACATCAGACTTAGAGTTCGAATCCTTCTGTGTTACGTTTGACCTTTGGTATTATATGGATGCGAAGCATGGACCATCAAAGAGGACACCAAGAAACGCCTTGAAGCTTTGGAGATGTGGTGTTGTAGGGTACGGCCAGAGAGTGCACTCAGATTCAGATTCAGATTCAGATGCCGAAAACAAGCGCGAGAAATAAACAGTGTAATCGAAGGGTACGGCCAGAGTGCACTCCTGATTCAGATTCAGATTCAGACTCAGAAAACAAGCGCGAGAAAAAGCAGGCAACCTGTAGTCTACTACACTGTTTATTTCTCGCGCTTGTTTTCGGAATCTGAATCTGAGTGCACTCTGGCCGTACCCATAGACGTATGCTCCGAATATCTTGGACGCACAAGATCTCGAACGAGATAGTATTACAACGCGTCGGTAAAGCTCGACAACTGCTACAGGTGATCAAACGTCGTAAAGTTGCATACCTGGGTCATGTGCTGAGACACGAACGATACGACTTATTGCAATTGATAATGATGGGCAAAATTGAAGGGAAACGACGCGTTGGAAGGTGTAAAAAGTCATGGCTCCGAAACATCCGAGAGTGGACCGGGATCGCCAATGCAGGGGAGCTCTTCCGTTTGGCGCAGAACCGAGAGGAGTACACAAAGTTAACGGCCAACCTCCGGTAACGGAGAGGCACCAGAAGAAGAAGAAGGTCCTGTGGTGGTGGCTGCGGTGGTTGGTTTGGTGGTGGGAGTCGGCTCGTCGCGTTGTGTTGCGGTTCGGCGATTTCTTTTCGCTTCTTTATGTGTGGATACCCCTATATAACGTTCGCGGGAGCCATTAAGGTGGCCGGCGCGTGCTCGGTAGCATCGCGTGGCTGATTTGATGGTTGGGCAGGCGTGCAGCCTGTACGGGCCACGGTCGAGGCCTTCCTGTTTTGTGCCTCGCGGTGCGTCACGGGGCACGAGTTGTGGTTTGCTAGATGTAGGGCCTTGCCGGCGGCGGCGTGTGGGTCCCCGCAGCGCAAGCAGGCAAGCGCGCGGCGGCAGCCCTTGGAAG